ATCTATGAACACTGCATGCTGGGCAATCATTCCACCACCGAGCCCCAGCCCCAGCCCTAGCCCTGAGCCCAGTGCTATGCCAAATAGGCAGAGTCAAAACAGCCGAGTGTGGTGGTGCACGCCTGTGATCCCAGCACTCAGGAGGCTGAGACAGGAGGATCACTGTGAGTTTGAGGGGAGCCTGAACAATAATAGCAAGACCTTGTCTCAAAAAAGTGAAAAAAAAAGCCCGCTTCTCCTTCTTGTTCAGTTACTGGTCAGCCCCTCCTGTGCATAACAAATGCCTCCTTTTCCGAGAGGAGAACCCACTCTGTTTTCCTCATTAAATATCTAACAATATTCAGTCATAATTACACTTCACCAAGGTCTACCTTCCTAATCATATTCTGTTTTTATTTTGTTTTTTTGGTACCAGGGATCGAACTCAGGTCCTTGCGCTTGCGCAGCAGGTGGCAAAACCCCTGAGCTAAATCCCCAGCCCACTAAATGATTATTAACACTGTTCTGTGTTTTTACTTTTCTGCAAGTTATTTTACTAGGTGCTGAGTATCCTCCGCTCATCTTATGGGCCCTAATTATTTAAGTAGACCCAGCGATAGTCCTTGAATAGATTTTGAATTTTCTTTATCATAATTCATGTATGACAACCATCATACGTGACATGTACACATGTCTGACAAGTTTCTTGGAATAAATTGTTACAAGTTAAATTCCAGTCTCGGTCAGAGGGCATGGCGACCTTTGTCATTTTTGCTATGCACTTCCAGAACAATTTATACAGCAACCGGAGCTGAGCCTCCTGAAGGTGAGGCAGCAGCACTGAGCGGCAAGTTACAGCCCCAGCCCAAAACCCTCCTCTCGGTGATTTTTCAGGCTTCTCATTTTTCCCTGGCTTCACCAAAACAGGATTTTTATCACTTGTTTAAAAATATCACACCCAATCGAAGAGAAAATGGGCAGGAGTGAGGTAGGACAGGTGAAATAGAGAGAAGTAGAAGGTCTCTCTCTTACCTTAAAACTCTAGGTCGGATCTCTGCTCACTTTAGGAATGTTTATCATTTAGGAAAAGTTGGCAAAATAAGGTTTTCTAGCCCTAAATTGACCTCACCTATCTCACCCACTGACAGTTCCTAAGTCAGACCCCCACCCAACCAGAAGGGAAAACCCCCAAGCAGACCTGCTACACACATCCACAGGAGCACAGGGATAACAGATGGAAAGCGGCTGCCCTGCTGCCCCCACCACCACCATGTTTGTCAGCCAGCCCCAGGCCCATCACCTGTGGGACTCTAAAATTTTCCACTCTCTCAGCCAGTGCCCCCTCCCTACCTAAACTCCCCATAAAAACCACGCCCACCCTCCTCTCAGTGCCAATGGCCCTTTCGCCCTTGGCCCGTCTGCACCCAGACGGCAATAAACTCATTGCATGGTGCTTGAACTTTGCCTGCCTCGGTGGTCTCAATCGTGCCTCTGTCTGACCTTCCACCTTCCACCCTGAGGACACCAAAATAAGACTAACTAGCTGGGCATGATGTCACAGGCCTGTAATCCCACCACTGAGGGAAGCTGAGGCAGGAGAATCAGGTCCTTCTTGGGCAGTTTGGCAAGAACTGGTCTCAAAAAATAAAGAGCATGCTTATAAGCTCAGCACTCAGGAGGCTGAGGCAGGAGGGTCACTTAGTTGAGGCCAGCCTGAACTACATAGCAAGACTATCTCAAATTTAAAAAAAAAAAGAAAATAAATAAATAAGAATAAATAAATAAATAAAAAGACTGCATATACACTTTAGTGCAAAGCCTCTGGGTTCAATACCTAGGACCAAAAAAAAAAAAGTGAAGTAGTTTTCAGGATTTACAGGTACATGGAATTATCAGCTTTTACAACATTGAATTCCAGATGCTCAAGAACAGTGCCTACAAGTGTTGGATCACTGACCTAAATCTGCAGCTACCTTGGATTCCAGGAAAAGCACAGCCTCATAGATGCACGCATTCCCTGCCCGCCCCAGGGAAGGAAGGAACCAAACTGCTCCTCAAACCACAGGGATTCCTCCAGGCCAAAGAAACCAGGACTGAGGCACTGATGGACAGGACTCTGGCCCGCCTCTGCCAGTCCTTAAAAGCTGGCCCCGTGCTTTTGAGAGGGCGCCGGTCTGAACCTCCACATCAGAGTGAGCGCCTCCAGTTACTCTACTCGGAGCGTCTTTCTTCTCCCTTACTTTGTAACTTTGCCTGATCTGCATTTCATGTGAATCAGAAACCTACCTGGTGCACCAAACTGAGGTCTCTGTCTCCTTTTTGGGGGGACCTCCTCAGACCCCATCCTGTGACGGCAGAAAATGTCTATTTTTCTGGAACACAACTGAATCCTCACAAGGTCAGGTTGTGATTTTGAATAAAGATGATCTGATGGGTTGTGGAATGAAAATTGTATACAAAGCAAGCTTGGTGCCTCAGAAGGAACTTGGGAAGTTAGGAGTGAGGAGGATTCTGGTCCTAGCTGACCGAGATTCTTCAGGCAGGTGTTGTGTCCTCAGTCATTTCCTGCAGATGCCTCAGAGGAGATGGTAGGAGGCTTCTCTGTGTGTGGGTTAACTTGAATCCATGCCCTGGTGGTTGGCCCTCCAAAGAGCATATGACAAGCACCGCAAATAATTGCCTTCCAGGGCCAGGGAATTAGCTCAGTGGTTCCACTGCCTGCCTGGCAAGTCCAAGGACCCGAGTTTGATCCCCGGTTACGCCCACCCCCACCCCCCATTGCCTTCTAAACCACAACCAGAAGGCTACCTGACTGAGGAATACAGGCATTAGAATACTCACTGGGGTCCTCTTGCCTCAGCCTCCTGCGTGCTGGGATTAGGTGTGTGCACACTTGGCTTTGTAGGACACATTTGTATGCACCAGACTGAAGTAAACAGAGATCACCAAGGAGATGAAGGGCAGGTGCACTTCTGGGTTTCAACTGAGGACCTGTTACCATTAAAAGTACTTTATGCATTCTTCACTCTCCCAAACCATTTTATTGACCTCAAAAAACCTGGAACATCATGAAAGTCAGGATGCCTTCTCGATAGTGACTGTCTCCAAGCATAAACTGTAGGAGAAAATGAAACCGTTGGATAACATTGCCGAGGGACAAACAAGAGCCCAGGGACTTCACCTGTTACTCATTACTACAAGCAGGATTTGTATTCCCTTCTTCTTTTTTTTTGTACCAGGGATCAAACTCAGGACTTTGCGCTTGGCAGGCAGGTGGCAGAACCACTGAGCTAAATCCCTGGCCCAAAATAATTCAATAATAATTTTATTGCTGGTGGGTTTTATTTTTGGTTTTTTTTGTGTGTGCCAGAGATTGAACTTGAGACCCTGTGCTTTCGAGGCAGGCAGCGGAACCACTGAGCTAAATCTTTGGCCCTTGTGTTCCCTTCTGAGGCAGTCAGGGACTAAACAAGAAATGAACAGGAGAAAAAAAAAGACCAAATAACTTCATTTGGGACCACAGATGCCCAATGAGTAGCTAAAATCAGAATAAAGCTTGATATCGCTGCCTTCATTTTGTGTCTATCTCCTCTACTACCTTAAAACTTTGGGTCAGATTCCTGCATATAAGAAAGTTAATCATTTAGTGAGTGTCTGTCAAAAACTGGTTATATGAGGTTTATTAACCTTAAATTTACCTGATTTATCTAATTCTCCTTCAAGACTGAGGACACTAAGACAAGATATTTTTAGGGAAATTCAATCACCAGCTTCTACCACCTGGAATGGGTGCGTGGATGTCTCCAGCCATTGCACTAAACCCACAGGCGCCATGGATTCCAGCGAAACTGAGATCACTCTATTCCCAAACAGGACCAATCATCTTATGGGAACCAAGATTTTTCCAGAGCTGCAAATACCAGAACTGAGATAATGATCAACCAGACCAGTGGTGGTGAATCTATGGCGTGTGTGCTGCAGCAGGCTGTCAGTTATCACCGACAGCTCTGAAGGCTTCGCCACCACTGCACTAGACTCTAGCCCACTTCAGCAGCCCCTTAAAAGCTTGAGCCTTGTCCTCTGCTGTAGTCCAGTCTAATCTTCATCAGAGCTGTGCCCCTATCAGCTTTTTTCCTCCAGCTCAGATCCTTTCCCATTTTCTTTCTTTCCAGTTAAAGCTTTTGCCTATAAAAATCATGTTGTTGCCTTGGTTTTCATTTCTATTATCACTGAGGCAAGAACCCACACTCGCCAGTGACAGGACAGAGCGTAATGGTATTTTCCCCGGCCCTATCTGTGGAATTGTCACTCTCTGTGAGAAAATTATCCATCCTCTTCTCTGCCCTGTTGCCTTGGGAAGAAAGGAGGAGAGTGGAGCAATTACTTGGAAGTTGGCTCTCAGGTTACAAAATCTATTCTCAGAGATCTTCAAGAAAAGAGTTGACACTGGGTAAATTTATTATCAGTTGACATCATAGTTTTTGTTGTTGCTGGTGGTGGTTTGTTGGTTTCTTTGTTATTCTGAGATGAGGGTTTCACTATGTTGCCCAGGCTGCCCTGCCGTCCCTGAGCATGGCAATTCTGCCTCAACCCCTCGAGTAGCTGAACTATTGGCATGAACCACTGAGCTTTGTATGACTTGATAGATTTTTGTTTTTGTTTTGAGACAGGGTCTTGCTATATGGTTCAGGCTGGCCTTGAACTCACTCCGTCGCCCAGGCTGGCCTCAAACTCGCTACGATCCTTCTGCCTCTGCCTCCTGAGTGCTGGGATTACAGGAGTGTGCCATCACACCTGGCATGACTCGATAAGATTTAAAAATTCTGCCCAGTGCCATGATTCTGTGACTCTAATCTGTAAATAAATGTTCATAGATGTTACGTCTAATTGCTAAGTTATCAGTGATGTCAGAAATGCCATACCACAGTTATCTTTCAAAACTCCAAACTTAACATGACTGCCAGGATCAGAATTAGTTTTCGGTTCAATTCTGAACAGAATTACCTTCTGTTCAATTACAGATAATCTTTAGATGGTGGAAGATCTCTCTGAGGAGTGAGTATCGATCAGCAAGACCTGGAGAAGCAAAAGACACTCATGAAGACTTCCTAGATAATTCACATCTTCAGGGTAAGGAAAGGAAAACATTATGTACTTGGTGCTGTTAAGTTCTCTATAATTAGTGAAAGGTTTTTCCTCAATGCTGGGGATTGAACCTTAAAAATCCCTTGAGACTGTGAGCCAAATTAAAACTCTCCTCCTCTAAATTGTGGGTATTTTTTCTCAGTGATGGGAAAGCTGAAAAATAAAACCAGTTCTCGTAGATGTTTTGTGGTGCTGAGGATGGAACTCAAGGCCTCCCACATCTAGGCAGGTGCTCTACCCCCAAGCTACATCCTCAGCTTTTACTGTTTTTAGAAGAGAGGGAAGGTTTTCAGTTTAGGGTGTATCTCCACGTGACAGACCACTTGTCCAGCATGTATAAGGCTCTTAGTTCAATCTCCAGCACTATACACACACAACAATAAAAGAAAATAAAAAATAAATTTTTTTGTGATTTTACTTCCTTAAATAGTTAAAGATCTGGATTGACAGTCTTTAATATTCCATTATGTGTGCAAGTATTTATAATATTCATGGCTTAGAAACAGCCATATTGGGGGAAGTCTGTTCAATTTGATTGAATAAAAAAAAAATCAGTCTAGGCTTGCCTCACTTAATTGTGGAATAGATGTCTTTTTTTTAACAGACATATTTCTGTACAGATAGATATAAAGTAGACCTCTAGAAAACACATTGCCTTTTCAGTTATGATTCTTTTGTTCTGTAGTATCTGTCCTGGAGCTATTCCTTGACAGAAGTGACTTTCTCTTTCTTTTTTCTATCTTTTTCTTCCCTTTCTTCTTTTTTTTATTTTTTATTTTTTTGGTACCGGGGATTGAACTTGGGACCTTGCACTTGTGGGGCAGGCGGTGGAACCACTGAGCTACATCCCCGGCCCTTTCTTTTCTCTTTTATTTGCAGTATTAGGGATTGAATATAGGGCTTTCCTACAGAGCTATATCCCCAGGCCATTTTATTTTTTTTATTTTGAAACAGGGTATCTCTAAGCTGCTAAATTGCCCAGGCTAGGCTCAAACTTGCAATCCTGCCTTAGCCTCCCAGAGTGCTAGGATTACAGGTGTGTGCCGGCACGACTGGCTAGATCACATGATTTTCTGATTGACTTCCTAAAATACCTAGAGATTGAAGAGAAAGGCCATAGTATCTTCAAGTGCTGTTCTACCTGGCAGACCCTCATCTGTCACCTGCCTGCCCCAGGCCCCTCCCACAGCCCTGCTCCTGGACACCAGGCCAGGCCCAGGCCATGGGACATCCACATGAGCTTCAGGATGACCACTTCCTGATACTGGAAGATTAGCTGCTAACGTAAGAAACTTAGTCCCGTAGCTGGGACCCTCCACTGCTCCCTCCTGCCCTAAGAGCTAGGAAGGTGAAGGGCCCAGGCTAGGAACGCACCCAACCTTGAGTTTTACATTGCAGTCATAGAGCTGCAGTCTCCAGACTGCTTGGTGGCCTCCCACCAGGAGCAGCACCATGATAGCCGAGGAAAGCAGTCTGCCAAAGTGGAAGGCCCTGTGTCTGCTGGGAGAACCCAGACAGCACTGGCCAGGTCACCGTCGTCTCCCTTGTCCCCCACGGCACAGAGCAAGGCTCAGGGGGCGTTTGGACTGCTTTGACCTTTGTGCTGCCAGTGCTGTGACCGCAGTGCCTGCTCACAGGATCCATGAGTCAGTGTCCCTGTCCCTAACAGGTGTGCTCATGCTTGTCCTATGTGGTTTTCCCGAGCATTCAGTGACCTGCTACATGAATGAGGTTTAGAGCAAGGCCCAGTACACAATCAACAGTTAATTATTGTTTGCTGTTAAGTATATGATGTAGACTGGGCTTAATTTTCCCCATCTCCTCTTCGTCATATTCCTCAGATTCTCTGAAAGACTCTCTCATCCAAAGTCTTCTCTTACACCCCACACCCCAGCAAGTCTCTAGAAATCTGAGTCACCCTCGGACCATCTTGGCAGAGAATGATGAGACCATGTCATGTGGACCCTCATCAGTGCTCAGCCCTGGGTGACGTTTTCTCCCTAGTTTCTGAAAGGCACCTCATTCTAGGTCCACCCTCTGCTTTGGCCTCCGCCTCCATGGCCCCCTCTTGGCCTCCTTTGCTGACTCCTCATTCTCCAAATCAAACTGCTGAGGTCCAGGGTTCAACTCTTAGGCCTTTTTTTTTTTCTCTGTCTGTACTTATGCTCTGGGGGATCGGATCTGGTCTCTGGCTGTAACACCCGCCACAGGCAGGAAGGTACCAAACTGATATCGCTAACTTAGCCCTCTCCCCTAAACACCACACTCAGACGTTTATCCAACTGCACCACTGACACATCAGCTGCAGTGCCTGACAGATTTTCAACTTGTCCAAGAATGGCTGCCGACCTCAGCCCCCCACCCCAGGAAAAAAAAAAGTCAGGCCCCAGATCCTGAAGTTCTCCTTTATCCCATTCTTTCTGTCACTCAGTAGATCCAATCCATCCACAAAGCCAGAGCCTGAACAGTGGCAGGCAGGTTCCAAGGTGTCCCCACCCCAGGATTCACACTCTCATACCTAGTCTGGTCGGGTGACCAACAGGATTCAGGGCATGTGATGGCTGTGACTTTCAAGGTTAGGTGATAAAAGATGAAGCTGCCTGTGTTGGTGGTTCTCTCTAGCTCTGTGTCTCTTTCACCCTCTCCCCATGCATTCTGGGAGAAACCAGGCACTGCCGAGGACTGATCAGCCCTGTAGAGGGACCCATCTGTGGTCTCTGAGGGGTTCCTGCGCCAGCTAAGCCACTCCTGGATTCCTGAACCTTAAAAGCACTGAGATGCCAGACACCTATTGTTTTAAGCCGGTAAACTCTGGACTGATTCGTTAAGCAGCAGCAGACACCTAACACTAACCTCCCCCGAGATTGTCGAAATAGCCCTCGCTGGTGCTACTCTTCCTCCTGCTCTATTCTCAGCACACTGGCCGGATTCAGGTCATTGGACTGCTCTGTCTCAACTCCTCCTCTCGTGGCTTCTTGGCTCCTCTAGGGTAAAAGTCCAGATCTTGTTTATTTGTTTTTGGTGCTGGGGATTGAGCTCGGGGCCTTGCGCAGGGCCTCAATCTTCTACTAATCTGTATCCCAAATTCCAGGTCTTAGGCATGGTGGTACACATCTGGAACCCCAACACGTGGGATACTGAAGCAGGAGGACTGCAAGTCTGAGGCCTGCCTGGGCTACCTAGTGAGAGTGTCTCAAAAAAAGACAGAAAAGGAGAAAAAGTCGAAGTCTTGCAGTGCCCTTCACCCCCACCCCATTTGCTTTTCTACTCCAGGGACACTGACTTTCCTGCGGTTTCTCACACAAAGCATTAGTGTTTGTGCAAGAAACAGTACAAACTTCCACCTCAGGGCCTTTGCACTTGCTGTTCACTCAGTTAGGAATATACTTTCCTGGGTTGTCTCCATGGCTTGCTCTTCATTCAGGTCTCTGCTGATACTGCCATTTGAGAGAGTGTTTCCTTGAGCACAGACAGAAAATCACAGCCTCATCCCTTACTCTGGAATATCATATCTTTCATAACAGTCATTGCCGTACAATATACTGTTTATTCTCGTCTGTTCTCTCCACCAGAATGACTCCAGTATGCTATGGACTTTGCCTACCAATGTGTCTTCAGCTCCCTGTGAGGTCCACACTATTATTTCCATTATCGACAGTTGAGGAACTGAGACCCACAATGATTACACGATTTTCCCAAGGACATCATGTATCAAGTGGGTTTAAAGACCAAGACTTGAAGCAGGCAGTCTGTATTAAGCAACATTTTCTTTGAGATGGAGGCTCACTGTGTTGCCTAGGCTGGTCTTGCACTTGCTGTCCTCCCACGTCAGTGTGGAGCGAAACTAAGCAACACTGCAGTGAGGTGACCCTTGCTGGCTGTGTACTCCACCCCCAGCCTTCCAGAGGTGGGGCCACTCCAGAAGTCCAAGCCCTGAGCCCTCTGTTAAACGGCTGGAGGTTCAGCTCCCTGGCTCCTCCTTGAGGCTCACAGCCCTGTGTTTATTAGGCTTGTAAAACAATTTTTGTTTTGCTCTTGTTATCTACACATGTCTATTGTCAGTTTATTTCCTAGCCTAAAATTATTGAAACTTAGGAGGGAAAAAAAGGAAATTTAACATGTTCCTACAATACTTTGTTAGTAGAGACTTTCTGAAGTACACCTGAATAGGCTTTGAGCATGTTTGCTTGGCATTTTAAGGTCTTCAGAATATGTATCTGCAGCTGTATTGAGGACGTTTTTTTCCTTCCTAACGACAGCAAAACCATCATTACTTTTTCTTATTCCTCTGAGGGGTCAGGGGTTCTCCCCAAAAACTTCCCTTTAAGGCTGGATTTTTATTGTTTTGCTTTTGTTTTTTGAGACAAGCTCTTGATATGTAATTCAGGCTGGCCTGGAACTCAGTCTGTAGTCCAGGCTGACCTCCAACTTGTATTGATCTATTTGCCTCAGCCTCCTGAGAGCTGGGTTTACAGGCATGTGCTACCACACTCAGCTAGAGCTTAGCTTGAAATATCGATATCCCAAAAACATCTTCTTTGGGCCAGGGATTTAGCTCAGTGGTCCCGCGCCTGATTGGCAAATACAAGGTCCTGAATCTGATTCCTGGTACTGGAAAAACAAACAAACAAACAACATCTTCTTTGTTCTCTTCAGGTGGTTAGTGTTCCCTCTGGGGTCTTAATTATATAAGAATTTAGATCAGACCCGGTGCAGTGGTGCAGAACTGTAATCTGAGCACTCGGGAGGCTGAGGCAGGAGGATCACCATGAGTTCGAGGCCAGCCTGAACTACAAAAAAGAAAAAAATTTTAAAAATAGAATTTACAACAGATCTCAGCACAAGGATGGAGGTGTTACCAGGTAGCTCCTTCTAAAAGTGGTTTGCCAACTAAACGTTACCTGGTTTGGGGTTGCTCACCTCTTCCTGAGAAGTTAGATTCCAGGTTCTTCTCAACTCAAACAAAGACTTGAACAAAAGAAGCA